ATAAACATTTTATTAAATCTAATTCTGGAAGTGATATGTATTAAGTTAACAAAGTATGAACATTAAAATAACTAACATTTAAAACTCACACTTCCTAGCCAAGGCTGTGGCAAAGGTGTAACTTGCGAACTTGAGTTGGAATACTATAGTATCTGCAAATACAATTGGCACCATGTGCTATTTGTATATATATTTTTCAAATACACTTTTAAGGTAATTTATCTTTTTTTCTTAATTGTAAGGGAAGGCACTACAATACACATTTCCACTTTCTCAACCTACTTCTTATTGTATAATATTACTGTAAATTAATGATATTAAATATAGCTATTGATCTGCTACTGGTTGAACAGCTCGGCTTCTCAGATACTAGTTATGGCTATCCATGGTCTTTGCTACAGAGCGGTCAAGTCCTATAGAACTGTTGTGAAAACTAACACTTACAAGGGCCCATCTAAAATTAAAGTTGATTTTCTGCTATTTTTAGACAGTAAAATCCTTCCATCTCCAGTATCTGTCTTTTAGCTATTTTACTAAGCACAATGTCTGGCTTACATTAGGTGTCCTACCAATAACTGTTGAATGAAAGAGAATTATAATTTCCCTCAGAAAATGACTGCCAAAGGAAGCAAAATTCACCGTTCCTCCAATTTACCACCTGGTGTGGGCATGTTGGTCCAGATGTGTTAAGCGGAGGATGAACCAAGGCTGGAGAGGGGGGAAGGACCAGAAAGACAAGGTCTTACAAAATCTATTATGGAGTTTGATTGGTATCTATGAGGAACTAGGAAGGGTGCTGAGCAAGTCACATGGTCATAATTGTGGTGGATTTGAAAGGTCATTCTGCATCTTGTATAGAGAATGGAATAGATGGCTGGATGAAGCGGAGACACTGTTAAGAGACTACTGAGATCTAAATAAGAAGAGATAATGGTCAAAACCAGGATAGTGGCAGGAGAGATGGAGAGAAGAGAATCGATGGAGGTTTGTAAGGCTGAACTGAAAGAAGTGCGTAATTGATTGGAGGTGAGCAGGAGAGAAGTCGAGCATGAGAACCAGGTTTCTAGCAGGGATGCAAGGGAGGACAGTCACACTGTCACGGAAGACTTAGCAAGAAAGAAGCCAGTTCAATTTTTGGACATGTTAGAATTGCGGCTCCTCTTATAGAAGAGTCCCCCAGAAGTACATGAGTGGTAATTTTAAATATAGGTCTGAAGGATTAGGATTGAAATGTATCTTTTTGAATTTTAATCAAGATCAGGATTTTGTTTTCTCTAAGTTATTGTTACATATATTAAAAACTCAAAGTAGAAGACTGAATACACTTTAGGTCAACAGCTTATTCTCCCTTGTTTTCTCGGGGTTTGATATACCACTGTTTTTTAGGAAACCAAATGGCTGTAAAATGTATTTAAGTTTTCTTCTGATATTTAAACACTCAATGTTAATATTATTTTTGGCACTAGAGTCATTGACTGGATTAGGAAGGAAAAACAGTATTTGTTGACTTTCTTCTCTGAGTGCAGCACATTTAGATTACTGTTCCTATTGATTCTCATGAAAGGAAAGGGATTTTAAATATCTCAGCATCTCAGCCTTCCTAAACATACGCAGCAGTACATCCTAAATTTCAAGTCCCCCTTTTCATATTTGAGAAAGGAGGACATTTAAGGGGACATTTGAGGAGGCTGCTTAGAGTAGGAGTTGAGAGGGTGGCCTCGAATCAGACTTCAGACCTTGTGTCTTACTTGTAATATGATCTTGATCAAATTATTTAATCTCTTTGAACTTGGTTGCCTCATCTGTAAAATAGGAGCGATAATAGTACCTGCCTCTTGGGTTTATGAGAGTAAGTTATGTAAACACATATAAGAGCAGCGTGTGGCATACTGTGTGTACTCAATATCTATTATTATCAAGTAATCCTGTTAAAGACAATGTTTTCTTTCTCCTAAGTCAAATATCACCACTGATTAAAAACCTCGGAAATAATTATTTCAGATCAGGTTTCCATCAGAAACAGGATTTCATATACAAGGTATAACATCTAATGCTAGCCCTTTCTGAGGACTCTTAGGGGATCCGTAACAGTCATTAGAGTGGAATCTTACTACGTCAGGAATGATAAGGGGTCCTGTTAGGAAGAGAATTTCCAGATGGCTAGGGATTAGGGCCAGAATAGCAGAATATCTGAAGTTTACTGAAATAACAGTTCTAAAGTCCAAACAGGCATGTTGCCATCAAAAATATGGAGACAAGAGGGTTTTAAAAAATAAAAATAAAAGTGCAAATCCAATTTAAATAGAGTGATGTATCCTCATTTCCACAAAAGGAAAGCTGGTTAATCAGGACAAACACTTTGCTAAAGGGACCAAACAGGGCCAATAAAGCAGTAATATGCATGTATGGTAAACAACCTCCCAAATATGGAAGACCATACTTCCTTTTCACCAAAGAGACCATTCTGCTCCCTAAAAGATTAGTTAGGAATATGCTTAAAATAAAAAAGAGAGCTTACCAAATCATGAGCTATGACATGAGCTTTTAAATTGGCAGTCAACATTCGTGAAACTAATGGTTTAACACTGGCTATAAATGATGTACTGCTTAAAGTAAAACATACCACACTGGATTACAAATTATACCCAGTTCATAGAAGCTGAATGCATACCGTACCTTAATAATCAAGACAGTTGACTGTTTCTCTGGGTATGTTTCAAACAGAGTTAGCATATAACCCGTATACAACAATATTGCTGTTTTTAGTCATATTTAAGAATCCAAAGTATATTATGTTCACAGAATAACACCGTTCTTGAATGTCAACAGTTTTTGATTTATAGTCCTCAAAAACACTCTATTCTGGTCATACACACTAATCTACACAACTGAAAATAACCAAAGATGATAGACAATTCACAGGGTCTCACCTCCAACACCTCCACACAGAGTTCTAGTTGCCTGAGAAACCTGCAAGTCATGTTCTCAACCTGTGAAAATGTTCCAGAGTAATCACTGTGGCCATGTATTTGGGTTTTGTATTTATAGCATTGGATATGAGACCTAATGTGGCCCTACATGTCACAGTAAGCTAAACCCCTTATCAAAAATAAAATGCAGAAGGAGGTGAGAGATTTTGTAATTTCAGTGACACAGGATTCAAAAACTGAACACTTAGACATAACTCTTACATCGCTCTTTAAGAGGTCATTGCCATGCGTACAAGCAGTAATCTATGTATCGTGTGATTAATGGAGGGGTGCACTTATGACCATGAACTTGGGTCCTTATGCCATAGCATTAATTTTGCCTTTCCCCCAAAGAATCATTTGCTCTTTAAGTAATAGGCTCTTAAGGCACATTTTAACAAAAACCCATCATATACCCAACTCAAAAATGGAAGTTCAACTGGTTACAATAATATACATATATACCTAAATAATGTGTTATTTATCAGATAGGCAAGTGTCTCTATCTTGAGGATAAAGTCATATTAGAAAAGCAATTCTTTACTTGCTTAAAAGGAAACATTGTGTAAAAACTACTAGAGAATTAGATTTATAATAACCCCCCTATACCAGGCCTGTTGGCAATTAGGGAAAAGACTCCGCTGGGAACCGGGTTCCTAATCACCCGGGTTTCTGAGCAGAAATTATGAGGAAGGTAGTTAGGGCTCCTTTGTGATTTTTAGAAATTTTCTTCTGAAATGCACAACCCTTTAGGAGGGCTCAGACCTTAAACTTCAATCAGCTACCATTTTAAACTGCAATTACCAGCCTCAAAGGAATATGACTTGAGAGAAAGGAAAAAGGATAGAAAGAAGTCAAAGATAGAAGTGGGATAATTTCAAGGACAAATTGTTTTAGGAACTTGACACACTTTGCTAGGAGCAGCTTTGATATCTCTGTGAGGCTCTGCTAAAAGAAAAAAAATATATCATTTTCTAACACCCACAAGCGTGCCTTAGGCATCAACCCTTGGTATGGACCTAGAATTATCTACTTGGAATGGTTTGGGATGGTGGTAGATTTAGGAGTCTCTTAACTTGCTATTAGTCTAAAGTAAATGTAAGTGACAGAATTTCAAAGAAACAAACACATAGCTAACTGTAATGCCTCTGCTGGCGGTCCCTTTCCCGCTGACGTTTAGGGGTTTTCAGGATGGCTTTTCAGCTGCGCCGAGCATGCTGCTGGCAGGCTGCGCTCAGGTTCTGTCTTAAGAGGGTAACAGGCAGAGTACAAGGCACACTGTCACAGATGAGAAGGACATGCAGAGGTGACAAATGGGCCCAACAGGATTTAGCTCTATGGTAGAGATCTGAGACATTCTCGGTGATGACAGAGCAATAAAGCTAGCTGGTCTGAAATAAACATTTCAAATGTTGCACAATAAAGGCCCATTTCACAGAGGCCAAGCATACAGAATTGTATATATATTTTTATATATGCAGTTGCCAATCACCCACATTTGGGAAACCAAGTGCCCTCTGATGTTACTTTAGCCTGGGTGGCAGATACAAAAAAGCCTCCAGAAACCCTGCAATTCAATGACATTCTTAGTTGGCTTAATGATCGGCACCATTTTGGATCTGGTCCCAAAGGTCCTAAAGAATAGTAACACAGCAAAGAGAAATGACCTTTCTGTATAAAACAACTACCGAGATGGGTGTTGAGGTAAAGAATTCTGTAAAAACCGTTGAGTAGGGAAGCACTGCCATAGCTGTAGAAACGTTTAGGTAAGTTTGGTGTTAATATTATTCAACAAAACTTCCTTTATACTAGTTATAAACAAGGGACAGTTCTTATTGCTCCTGGAGCTTGCTGCCCCAATCTGTTCCATCTCCACTGAAAAATTATTTTTCTCAACAATTGGTAGCAAAGATTCCCCAATTTATAAAAAGTCATCGCTAATGCATCACTTTTTAATTTCTGATCGCCATATAGCTAGAAACTACAGTATGCATGTCCTTAACACCAAGTACAGAAAAAATCTTAGAAAAGTTGTTTTTATCAAAGTTTAGTTCAATGAGAAAAAAACATGAAAAAGTGCAAAATATATACAGTTTCTGGTAGTCCTCACACAGGATTTTTCTCACTACATACCACAAAAGTTTACATTTGTGTGATGAAATTACAGTGGATTTCACTTCATTGTTAATATACAAGTTTTTGCTTCAAAGTGCTTGCTTTATTTAACAAAGAAAAGATCAAGAGGGTTGCAGGGATTTTTCCTTTTACAACAAATTTGTGTTATTTGTCCCAATCTCCTTCTTCCTCTTCTTTTAGTGAAACTCAGTGCAGCAGCCTCTTTGAAAGGTCTGATTTCAAAAGACGTTCCTGAAACCTCACCTACAGCAGCACCCTAGGCGTCCCATTGGGTGTGGCTCCTTTTTTCTTCTGCAGCCGATTCTGAACCTTGCGCGATTTCACCACTTTCATTCTCACCTCAAAAACTTCATGGATGGCCTTCCGGAAGCAATGAAAATTATAGTCAATAAGCCCTGGAGAAGAAAACAAAAATATTTAGAAACGTCGCAAGGAAGTAATCTCCATCTTTTCTTGTTGACCATGGCGAAGATAAACCAGTAGGGGGCAGCAGAGGAGCGGCCTTGACAGAAGGTCTGCAGTCTACTTAGGAGGTTTGCAGCCTTCAGGAATTACAGGCCAAGTCTTGTGAATGAATGTATATTTTTCCCTAAGGAAAGTTTCCAGACTGTATGCCACATTCTCAAAGGTGTCTATGACGCTAAAGATTTGAAGAACCAAGTGAACTGCACATATTTTTACCTTATAGAATTAAAGGGTTTTTTTTACAATAAAGATAATTCTAAGAAATATTTGTTATTACCTTTCCCCAAAAGGCTTTAATTATTAAATTGACTCTAGGTGGAGGTAGACTTTGACTTGGAATGTGGCTGAGATATCAAAGCCACAGTTATCAATCAAGTAATTAATATTTACTGGATATATATTATATTTAAACCATTGTCATAAGCTTTGGGGAAAGCAAAGTCTCTGATATTAGAGTGGGAATAGCCACCTCAGGCCAACTCAGACTCAGGAATTCAACAAACAATAAAACTCTCAGTTTTTCAATATCATGTACATTTTAAATGGAGAAACAGGAGGGGAGAATCTTGTGTTTTCAGAAATTAATGAGTGGTACAAAAACAGAATAAGAGATAATGAAAGTCTTGAGTGTATTTTTTTATTATCACCACTAATTTGTTATTGTTGATATTACGGGGCACAGCCAGGGCCCCCCTCCCCACCAAAGTGTATTTGTAACGGGGTCCAGAGATTGGGGTGTCCAAGAAAAATATATTCTCCCCACCCTAGGGCGGGCCACCATGGGGGATGGGAACCTTGAGCAGGGCCATTGAGAGTCAGTTTGCATGTCAACAACAGGATAGCTTTGTTCCTAGTTTGCAAAGAGGATTATTTGGCATATCACCAAAGCTAATCAGGAAGGTTTAAAAGACTTAATACAGAATGTAACTGAGAGAGAAAGAGGAGAGACAGGGGCCCACAGGAGAGAGAAAGGGACACCTACTCTGGGGAACAGTGTGAAGACCACGCGGGAAGAAAGAGGGGAGAAAGGACTCTTGCTAGTGAGCCATGAGGAGGTGCCACATGGTTATTGATTAAGAGCTGGAGATCACTGCGACACAGCAGATGATGCTGAGACCCACAACAGGCCTGCCTAGCTGAGCCCCGGACTTGTTCTTTTTCTTCTGAGGGGCGGTACCCCTGACTGGCTGACTGGCCTAACTGGGCAAAGGGGGGAAGGCAGGACAGTGTGTGTGCTGGTGATTGTTTTAAAGGGATTTTGAGGTTTAAGGGTGACATTTAGCCATTAATCGAACCTGTATAACTTTTGAATAAATAGTTCCTTTTCCTTCTCACCAAAGTCTGCCATTCAGAGCTATAATTCCAAGGTCGGCGGGCAAAGGACCCACAACCGAGGGGTCCCAGGTGAGGATGGTGTCATTGTTCGGTAATAGCATCTGGGCACCCCCCCACCCCGCCATGGGTCCTTTTGTTCTGTAACATTGAGACCAACCCTATGTTTATACCAATTAGGATAAGGCATTTGGTTCTATTTACTATCTTTAAACTTATTAAAACAACTAACCCAACCATTCCTTCCATCCATTCAGGTGATGCTTCCAGAGACCCAAAGATCTGAGATTCCAACCAAGGAGTGAAACTCTTCAAATCCTAGTCTTACAATTAACTACAAGTTAATTGGAGGAAATCCCAACTCAGCTTCTAGGATCAGGAAACCCTCTTGAGTGGCGCCCTCTGCTGCTACTGCAGTGATAGTGACCACAAGTAAAAAGAGAAAAAGGACGGATGAGGCAATTAAGGCGCAAAGTGATAAACAAGGAGCAAAGAAGTGGTCTTATTTTGTGGGAATTTGGAAATGAGATGTGAGAACTTAACAATTCTCTGCCTATCACACGTGCAACCAACTGTCTTAGGAAGAAAGCTTAGCTTGACTTGCTGAATGAGAAGGGTTCAATCAAATACTGAACCTGGGAAATTTCAGAGACATTCTATTGATAGTTTTTAAAAAATATTTCATTTATTTATTTTTAGAGAGAGGGGAAGGGAGGGAGAAAGAGATGGGAGAGAAACATTGATCGGCCGGACCTGGCCCGTTTGCAACTCAGTAATGTGCCCTGACCAGAAATCGAACCAGTAACCTTCTGGTGTGCAGGGCGACACTTAACCCGCTGCGCCACGGCGGTCAGGGCCTAGTGGAGGTTTTTGGCAAATCTTAACTTATTCACTTCCGCACGTTTTTAAATGGGCAAACTTCAAAGAGAAAAAAGTAATCTTGCTGTATTTGGAATTTTAAAAATAAAAATAGAAATTCACAATTGAGGTTTTTAAAGGAAGTAAGTATTCATAAAAAGAGTTTGTTACTTATTTCAACTCTTTCATTAAGGCCGTTGAAAATACAAGAGACACAAGCAGAATAAGGACTGTCTTCACCACCACACACAGTTATGTGATGGTGCAACATCTTTCTCTAGTTCAGTGGTTCTCAACCCTAGCTGCACAAGTGAAAACATCCAGGGAACTTCAAAAAAAATAACAAACCACAGGCCCCTCCCTCTTCCAAGAATTCTATTTATATGGAGGAGGACCCACATGTGCATTTTTTAATCACCTCTCATCCAAGGTGCCTATAATGGGCAGCCCAGGCTGAGAGTCCCGCATCTGTCAAAGCGGCCACAGAGACCATTAGTGAAAACTCAGATGGAGACCAACACGAAGAAAAGCTAATCACCAAATGTCGGTTATCAGCACCAACAGGACTCAGCAACACGAGATTCGAGCAACAAAACTAATCAAACTGCTCCATGCATTTATAAGCATGAAGTTCTTTTTAAAGACAACTATCTAATAGTTAGGGTGACCAACTCATCCAGTTTGTCTGGGACCATTCCTAGTTTCAGCACCAGATGAACATACTTTCCAAAGTGTGTCCAATCAACATACTTTGTCCCAAACGAATGGAGATGATTGGTCACCCTAAATAACACACAAGTTTAACACGATTGGGGTTAAAACTAGTCTGTCTATTTATTTACATTTCTCAATTATGACATTAAAACTGACACCTAGGTTTCTAGTTATATAATAAAAGTCTATAAAAATTGCCTATCCTCAAAGATGATCCCACTTATGTGGGATAACTTACCAAAAGAGCCACATGATAAATTCCTGCTTAAATTTATTTCCACAATCATAGATCAAAGTTAAAATTAGGGGGCAAAAGTGTGAGAAGAAACAGGATTTGCATAGTTTGAAAGTCTATATTAACTACAAAGGAAAAGACAAGTCAGGGACTTTCCAGTGGAAAACCTGGCAGACACTGCCTTAGCTAAATCAACATCAGTAAAAGACATACAAACATCCTTAACTACTTGATATGATGCACTGGGAAGAACACAACATCATTTCTTTTTTTTTTTACCCTCACCCAAGGACATTTCCCCATTGTTTCTAGAGAGAGAGAGAGAGAAAAACATCGATCAGTTGCCTCCCGTATGTGCCCCGAATGGGGATTAAACCCACTACCTTTTGGTGTACAGGACGATGCCCCAACCAACTGAGCCATGCTGATCGGGGTGATAAACTTTCCAGTTTAATAAATTACAGTTTAAGATGATTTTAGGACCTGCCACCATTCTAGATGGGATGGAGGCTCTCGATGTACTATTTGCATGACTTTTCACAGCTTCCAAAATCAATGTGAAATATTATTCATCAAATATAATTTCTGGAAATATCTTTAACCAAGAAAATATACCTATAATGGTTTAAAATACAAGATACACAACTGATTCCACATAGGGAGAAGCCCAGGAATCTTTAGCCCTGACTGTCATACATTGGTAGTGTGACCTTATTTTGGGAGAAAGGCACTTATATTTCCTGGGTCTGGGTAAAATCATCTGTAACTGAGAGAGTGAAACAAAGTATGGTCCTGTCTATCTCCAAAACTCCATGAATTTATTATGTAATCTGTTCTTACTTTCAGCAAGATAAAAATACAAAATAAAAATATTAATACCATTTAATTTAAAATTTTGCTGGCCAAACACACAAAAGGCAATTTGGTTGGCAATAGTAGGTAAATACAGGGAAAAAACACAACTTCATTGAGAAGCAAGGAAATGTAAATTTAAATGATATACCAGTTTTCAATGATCAGTTTTTAAGCCTAATACCCAATATTGAAAATATAGCAAATTTGACACACTCATATTCTCTTAGTAGCCTAAACCCATAAAATCTTTCTAAAGGACACTTTGGGAAGAATGCAAAATGTGCCTACTCTTTGATCCAAGTAATTCCATTTGTTGAGGTTCTTTCTGAGGAAACAACTAAAGAAGTACACAAATATTTAGTGCAAATAAGGTCATCACAGACTACTTATAGCATCAAAATATGAAAATAATATAAATTTCTAACAATAGATGATACAATCATTAAAATGACGTGGTAAAAAAGATTTAGTAAACTAGAAAAACATCTGTAATAATTTAAGTGAAGGTTATAAAGTAGTAGTATTTATATCATCTAATATATAGATAACAGATATATATATATATAAAAGGCCCAAAAGTTATACAGAAAATGATAATAGTGAGAAGCTTGTCAACAATTGTTTCTTTTTTGCTTGCTATTTCTAAATTTTCTAAATGAATCTATTATTTTTATTTAAAAAAAGAAACAAAATATAAATTATGTTTCCAGGCTCAATAAATTTTTAGCAGTTCCATGATAGCCTAGGCTGGTGTGGCTCAGTGGACTGGGTGCCAACCTGCGAGCCCAAAGGCTGCTGCTTTAATTCCCAGTGAGGGCACATGGCTGGGTTCCGGACCAGGTTCCCAGGGGGGACGCGCGAGAGGCAACCAATTGATGTGTCTCTCGCACATAGCTGTTTCTCTCCCTCTTTCCCCATCCCTTTCCCTCTCTCCAAAAGTAAATAAATAAAATCTTAAAGAAAAAACAAAAACAATTTCATGATATAAATAAATGAAAACAACCAGATATAAAACTACATAGACAACCTGGCCTCACTTTTGTTGGAAGGAAGGAAAGAAGAGAAGAGGAAGCAGGGAAGACGAGATGGAGAAAGGGAGGGAAAAGAAGAGAAAGCAAGCATATTTCAGAAATTTAACATGCCGTTTAGTTCTAGATGGTGAAACTGAGTGGCTTAATTTTGTTCCTTATACTCCCTTAAATTTTCAAAGTATTTTTATAATAAACATGTATTATTTTATAAGGGGGAAAAAAGGCTATTTCAGTAAATGTTACTATTTCCACTCTGTAGGAAATTTTTTTTACCCACCAAATTGGTAAATCATACCTTCACTACAAGCAAACATCCCTAGCAATGGCAATAAAGTGGTATTTCCCAGTTTAGGCAGCAGGGGGAAAACAAGTATCTTTATGAGATTAATTGCTTTGGTTTTAAAATAAAGCTCAAATGATATCTGGTGGTGTTATTAAGTATATTCATGTCTTCTATTTTTGGAATCATGATGCCATCCCTGTGTTTTGAGGACCAAAGAATACACAGAGGCTGAAGAGAGGTTAAAGGCCGTCTAACTTTACTGTTGCATGGGTCTCCTCCTTTATCACTGGGGTCGGGGCACAAGTGGTCACACATTCCTGAAGCCTTCTAGAGGCGAGGGCCAAGAGGGAGGGCTTGGCCCTCACTATAGGCTGGGGGCTCTGCCCTTTGTAAGAAAACTTAGACCCTGGCAACACCAGGCTAGCTTCACCCCAAGAAAAGCAAAGGCCCCTGGGAAGATGGTTGTTTCCACTTCCACCTCACAGGCAGCTTTCACTACAGGACAGGCTGATTCATGGATCCCCAACCCCTGACTGATGTCGGCCAAGGAGGCCTGTGCCTAAAGTCTGGAAGCTTCCAGAGGCATGCTGTTCCCTATCCACATTCAACAAGCAGTAAAGGCAGTATCAGTCTGAATTGAAATGTTTCATTTAAATCACACAAAAAAATTACCTTTTCTTTCAAAGCTTTCCTCTCTGACAAAGCAAACGAGGGCCAGGAACTTCGTCACCTCTTTTAAATAAAGAACTGTGGTATTATTCAGCTTTATAATGGCTGTTGATTCCCTGTCATAGGGGGTTCCTGCTCCATCTTCTTTGAGACTAAATAGAGAGAGAAATCAAAACTTATTTTATCATTGAGAAAGAACTGCAAATTGTAACCTGGCAACAAAGACCAGCTTTCACACACAGAGTGACGATGAGCAGTTTGCACTTACAGTGTCTTTCAGCTAAAGATCTCAGAAATACACAATCACAGGAACGTACAGTATATGACAGTCACTTTCCTACTGACACAATGAGTGGCTGTTGCGGCAGCTGCACAACTCTCTGGGCACATGAGAGACACAGGTGAGGGATGGGAGCCAGCTCTTCTCCCCTCTGACGCCCGCAAGGGCTTCTTGTCTTCTCATAATCGAACAACCAGGCTGTCAAAAGCATGAACCAAGAAGGACTGAAGAACCGTTTCAAATTAAAGAAGCCTAACGACAAATGACAGCAAATGCTGGGCTAGATGTTGGGTCGGGGGAAAACCAGTATAAAAGATGGAAGTGGGGCCGCTGGTAAAATTTGAATATTGACTATATATTAGATAATAGAGTGATATAGCCATGCTAAATATGCTTACTTGGATAATTAAACTGTGGTCCTGTAAAAGAATGTCTTTGTTCTTAAGAGATAGATGTTCAAGTAACTAGGATCAAAGAATCATGTCTGCAACTTCCAAATGGTTCAGCACAAACAAACAAACAAACAAACAACATAGAATAGAAAGAGAGAGAGATAGCAAATATGGCAAATTGATAAAAATTTGTGAATCCCAATGAAGGGTATGTAGGAATTCATTATACTATCCTTGCATATTTTATGCAGGTTTGAAATCTTTTTAAAGCAAAAAGTTAAATACAGTGGATTTCTTTTTTCTTTTTAAAAAATTTTTATTGACTTCATTGTGGTGACATTGGTTAACAAAATTATATAGGTTTCAGGTGTACAGTTCTATAACCCATCATCTGTACACTGTGTTGTGTGTTCCACCGCGAGTCGAATCTCCTTCCATCCCCATTTACTCTCTCTGTAGCCTCCTCTACGCCCCCTCTCCCCTTTCCTTTTGGTAACACCATGTTGTTGTCTGTGTCTATGAGGTTTTTTTCCTAAATCCCTTCACCCTTTTTACCCAACCCCACAACCCCCCTCCCCTCTGACAGCTGTCAATCTGTTCTCTAAGAGTTTGTTTCTATTTTATTTGTTTATTTCATTCATTAGATTACACATATGAGTGAAATCATATGGTACTTATCTTTCTCTGACTAGCTTATTTCCCTTGGCTGCAGACACAGATGACTTGGGTTTGAATCCCAGCTTACTTACTTAACTATGTGAACTTGGGCAAATTGAGTAACTTCTTTGAGCTTCAATTATCTTATCTGTATACAAACAACAATTACTTCAAAGTTTCCTAACGTAATGAAATAATACATATATGGCACTAAGCACTGTGCTGAGACCATGTGAAATGCACCATGAATGTTAATTGCTATTATTATTATTATTATTATTATTATTGCCTTGTAGGAGAGGAACAAACTTTACTCTCAAGGTTCTTGTGGCTGTTCTAATAAATAAACAATGAGACAGATTAGCAAGAGAAAATAACCAAATTTAATACATACATCGTATGGGAACCCTGCACACCTGAGAGAATCAGAGACCTCACATGCATGAGAAGTTTAGAGATGTAAAGGGGTATCTGGGTAAACGAAACACCCTAAGCTAGGGATGAGGTTATGTGCCTTGGCAGTTTCAAAGGGTTATTGCAGGATGATAAAAAGAACAGATGTTTAATAAATGAATGTTTGTCCTGCCATACAGGTGGGTCAAAAAGGTTATCACTGATAATCTTTTATTGTATGCAAGGCCCCTAATTCAAGTTCTCTAGATTGTTAATGGAGGAGCAGAAGTTTCTCTTGAGCCTGAGGTTAAAGTTGTTTTTAGCTCAAAACCAGACTGCACACAGCAGAGGCACGTCTTGGGCCAACTTGCTCTGAATCCCCTCAGCCTTAATGATTGAAACCGGACCCTCTGAAGCACCAGTGTATTCAAAGAGTTAAGTATCCTTTCCTCAAGCAAAGGAGCACTTCCCTGTACCTCTTCCCTTTACTTGACACCGAGTATACATTTTCTGCTTTATTTTTACTTCCCAAACTTATAAATAATTACCAGAAGTCTGACTTAATTGGACTTGTACTAAATAAGTCTTATTAATACAGTAGAGTAATTCAGCTGCTACTAAACGTTATCACTTTTGCATAGTAAGAGCTGGCATTTACTAAACGTGTGCTGTGGTGGGCACTGTTCTTAGCTCTTACCGTACATTATATTGTCTGATACAAGAACCCTCTAAGGTAGGTAGTGCGGGACTAGCTTGGGGAAAATAGGAGAGCTTGGTCAAGGCTGATGGTGGGTTACAGCCAGGACCTCAGACACATCTGACTAATTTTAGAGTTAACGCTTTTAATCTCATAAATATCACAGGGTGTAGGGTGACAAACCAGATTAAATGAAAATGCCTGAATTGTAGAGTATTTTAAAGGAAATGTAGGTTTTTAGATTTGAGAGTATTTTAAACAGGTACATCCATGGCTACTTAAAAGTAAATTGTAGAAGTTAGCTTTTTATAAAAGGATTCAAGTTGCTATTTGAGGGGGCACCCCCCAAAAACCCGGAATTATCTTCTGGAGGGTGGTCCCTTGTAGTACAGGCTTCCCCTGTACAAGGAGTGTTCTAGGAACCTGTCTGTATCAGTGCGCCAGTTGGTGGTGTTGTCAGAAGCTGCATTTGGCTTCAATGAAATTTTTTTGAAGACTCAACGTGCTTGCCCATTTCCTGATGGGTGTTTTATAAGCGCACCAGCCCGCACCAAGCTGAGTGTCCAGCAGTTCTTGACCAAAAACGGCATGACTCCCATGCCCCACCCTCCCCATTTGCCGAGGGAAATGTTTTGCCGATGTGGAAGAGACGAAACAAAAAACAGCAGAAGCACTAAAAGGGGTCAAAATCGACAAGTTCAAAAACTGTTTTGAGCAGTGGAAAAAATGTCTTGATAGGTATACTGCATCAAATGGAGAGTCCTTTGAAGGTGACTGAAGTTTAAACATGTGAGAATAAATACACAATTTAAGAAAATTCTGGGGTTTTTTTTTGGGGGGGGGTGGGGGTCAGCTCCTTGTAACCTACCAGAACAGTAAAGAAAAATTTTAAGAAGTGTTAAATCTCAGGTGTTAAAGATGTTTTAACAGAATTCTTAACTTCTTTTGTGTTATTTTTAGTTACTGGTTTTCTAGACTGAATTTCTCTTGCTTATAAATAATGTTCTGAAAGTAAACTGAAACATTCAAAAATTTTAACCAATGAAGAAAACTGAATTTAAAATTTCCAAGCAAACATAATGCTATGCTATACGGATACTAAGCATAGTTTATTAACATCATTTATTACACTGGAAAATTCTTAAGTGATAATGTTAAATGAAAAAAGTAGGATATAATATTAAATACACAAAGTGATCACATTATCCTAAAAATTACACAGAAATAAGAATAAAATATACAAAAATATTAGTGATTGCTTCTCCATGATGAGATTATGGGCTATTTTTTTTTATACTTTTACATATTTTTCTGCCATGAGCATAGATTACATTCATAATCAGAAAAAAAGCAAGCATTAGTTAGGATAGCCAAGTGGTTTAAGGTGCTGCATTCAGGAAAAAAGTAAACAAATAAACTGGAAAAAAAAATACAAGTAGACACTGGTGAGGTTTTACAACCGCAACAACTATTTTCTACTACTCAAGCTTCCACCTACAAAGCCATAAAAACACATGAGGATAGAACGTAGTTTTAAGTGTGTGTTGCGTGGAGCTGCTGGCCTCAGCAGAAGCTCAGCTGAGATTCCTGAGCAGTTGGACTGAGGCACCAGGTCACCTGCTTCTAAAGGCTGCTGGTCTCCAGGGAGCAGCTGGGAACTGGCAGTGAGCCTGCTTCCCGGGCTGCCACACACATTGCCAGCCCTCCCCATTAACTGGGCTGGCTCCCTGCCGGTCCAGCAAACAGTCTAAGAACACCCGAGGGCCCCGAGTCCCCGCCCCACTTGTGACCCAGGCTGGTTCTCACTGAACCTGGTGGGTTCTCAGGAACACTGCACTCTACCACAGAAAAACAACCCGATGGCAGGGCCCAGCTCCCTCCTCCTCTCAACCCCTCCCTCCCTGGCTTGTTTGAGCTGGGTAAAAGTAACTCTGATTAACATCATTTACACGAACAACTTACCACTTAGGTCTAATTACCATATGGCACAATAATGATTATGCATATTGTTAAATATGTACAAGATTAATTGTGTTGTTTATTGTACTTGATTAGCATAGCAATCTAGACTGCAATCAGGGTACATTCAGCTTCATGGCTATTTCAAGGTCACTTACAGTTTAAAAATAACAGATTTCTGTAGGACGATAATCTTAGGAAATAAGGTCTATTTCTAAAGCTGGATGGCAGTGTTCAATAATAATAATAGTAATAGTGGACTTCCAGCCAAGATGGAGGCATAGGTAGATACGCTTTGCCCCCTCACACAACCAAAAGAAGGACAACAACAAATTTAAAAACAAAAAACAACCAGAACTGCCAGAAAATCTGTATGGAAGTCCGGCAATGAAGGCATTAAAGAAGAAATATTCATCCAGTCTGCACTACAATGCGGTGCAGTTGCCCCGCCCTGGTGAATACCTAAGGCTCTGCTCCTTGTAATGTAGGTAACAGGTGCGCTGAGACAAAGAAATATGGCCCAAATGAAAGAACAGATCAAAACTCCAGAGTAAAAACAACTAAGTGATGAAGAGAAAGCCAACTTATCAGATGCAGAGTTCAAAACACCGGTAGTCAGGATGCTCACAGAAATGGTTGAGTATGGTAGCAAAATAGGGGAAAAAGTAAAGCCTACGCAAAAGGAAATAAAGAAGAATGTACAGGGAACAAACAGTGAATGGAAAGAAACCAGGATTCAAATCAACAATTTGGAGCAGAAGGAAGAAATAAACATTCAACCAGAAAAGAATGAAGAAACGAGAATTCAAAAAAATGAGGAGAGGCTCAGGAACCTCTGGGACAACTTTAAACATTTCAACATCCAAATCATAGGGGTGCCAGAAGGAGAAGAGGAAGAGCAAAAAATTGAAAACTTATTTGAAAAAATAATGAAAGAGAACTTCCCCAATTTGGCAAAGGAAATAGACTTCCAGGAAGTCCAGAAGCTCATAGAGTCCCAAAGAAGTTGGACCCAAGGAAGCACACACCAAGGCACATCATAATTACATTACCCAAGATTAAAGATACGGAGAGAATCTTAAAAGCAGCAAGAGAAAAGGAGACGGTTAACTACAAAGGAGATCCCATAAGCCTAACAGTTGATTTCTCAAAAGAAACCTTGCAGGCAAGAAGTGGCCAGAAAGAAGTATTCAACATCATGAAAGGCAAGTACCTACGTCCAAGATCACTCTATCCAGCAAAGTTATCATTTACAACGGAAGGGCAGATAAAGTGCTTCCCAGATAAGGTCAAGTTAAAGGAATTCATCATCGCCAAGCCCTTATTATGTGAAGTGTTAAAGGGATTTATCTAAGGAAAAGAAGATCAAAACTATGAACAGTAAAATGACAACAAACTCACAACTATCCACAACTGAAACAAACTAAAACAAAAACAAACTAAGCAAACAACTAGAACAGGAACAGAATCACAGAAATGGAAATCACATGGAGGGTTATCAGCAGGGAAGGGGAGGAGGGAGAATGGGGGGAAAGGTACAGGGAATAAGAAATACAAACGGCAGGTACTAAATAGATAGGTGGAGGTTAAGAATAGTATAGGAAATGGAGAAACCAAAGAACTTGTATGTACCACCCATGGACATGAACTAAGACAGGGCATGCTGGTGGGAGGGAGAGTGCAGGGCAGAGGGGAATAACAGGGAGAAAAAAGGGGACAACTGTAATAGGATAATCAATAAAATATACTTTAAAAAAGGATAATAATAATAGCAGTAGCTACATTTATTCAGGATTTACCAGGTGAAACCTAATGATATTTCATCCTAGTGATACAGTCCTATGAAGCAGCACCTTCCCTTTTCATCACAGAAGGGACTGCGTGTGCATGTGTGTGTAGGAGAGTTAACAAAGAGAATTTCAACTGAGTGGGCAAAGGATTTAAAGACGGCGGAAGAGAGAAATGGCGAGACTGAGACTCTCGCAGAAGAGGTAGCTACATAAAGCAGGTCACAGTGAGAAAAGAGGAAGATGAACAAAAGCTTAAAGTCACCAACGACTGGATGAGGATATAAGTCCAATGTAAACAGGCAGTAACAATTTGATGTCTTATAAAGACAGAAAAACTAGTTCACACCCATGTACTCTGCATGGCATCCATTCAGCATATTTATGGCCATGTGGAACAATCAATTTTCCCCACTCCTTATTTATTTTATGATTTTAAGAGTATAGAATGTTCTGTTTTCTAAGTATATAAGATCATAATAATAAATAGGTAATGTTGTTTGCTTAGTTTTAAAATTCTCTGTTGCCTACAATAGAAGAAAATCAAAAGTATATTATTGACGGGATCGCTTTGTAAGTTACATAAATGTCTAACACTATGCTGTACACCTGAAACGAATATAATATTGAATGTCAACTGTAATTGAATAATAATAAAAAATAAAAGTATATTTTTAAAAAACAATCCAGTAGTTATCTCCTGTAACAAAAAAGGTAATAGAACTGTTGTTAATATGAGATATTTATTTAGAGTTCAAGGATCCTATCAGTCTCTCCCAAGTATGTAAGACAGTGCGAAATGATGATGGAGCCTCAGTAGGGAAGCCCCAGGAATCAGTTAGGCTTGCGTTCAAACTCGAGTTCCATCCCTCACTGACAGTGTGAACAAAAATTAGAACTTTAACCAGTGTAAACCTCAGTTTTCCCAGCTTTACTGTGGGGATTAAACAAATAAATAAAGTGTGGTTAGTAATTTCTTCCTCATGGGATTTGTGGAGAATTAAATGATATAATGTATGCAATGAGATTATTAGCATAATGCCAGGAATTTACTCAATAATTTGTTTCATGCTAAATGGTATATTTATTTATATATCTCGGTCATAAATCAAATATGTAAATGCAAAATATCTCAAAGGTTATGAAAGAGAAGTACGGCTTGACTGTAGCCTGTAAGAATATTTTACTTACCCATAAATACAAGAGATGTCAATAACCACATCGATCATATCACAGCAGAGCTCATAGGTTTGCATATCTACTGGGGTACTATCAGTTGCAATATAAATTTTACTGACCACATCAAACAGAAATGCCTTTTCAATTCCAGAATTCTAAAACAAAAAGAAGATACTGACTTAGAGCAACAGCTGATTTCAGACCAGGTCATGGTTACATAAAACTATATGCCACCTGCTATGTAAAAAATGGTCAAGCAAAAATTAAGTTACTAAAATTTCAGGTTGTTCTATTTTATTACAGTTTAAACCTCATTATCATATACTTCTTTATAATGGACTTGCATAAGAAATGAAAAGTGGAATTAATTATCACAAATTATTTACTGTAGGTAAGAAGACTGGTAGCCAAGTAAACACTAATTTTACTAATTTTAAATTAAAAAATTAATTTAAGAATCTAAACAAGCAAATTCCAAATTGTGCAGTGAGAATTAATGTCAGTACAACCAACAAGTCAGCCTCAATTCTACTCTGCAGAGCTGGTAGTTTATAAGACTCATTCAGCCAGCTCATCAGTCAGTCTTAACAGTATATATCTTATCACCAAAGCAATTTTATGCTCCCTGCCTCTGGTAGGGCTGCTCTATTAACACTGAATGCTTGCCTAAAACAACCTGTAGGAGCAACTTCCGAAAGTAATACTTTAGAGACCTTGAAATGCTGTAAGAGTTAGCAGAAATAAGATCATTTTTACTCTTGCAATGTTATTCTTAAATTCTGCAAAGGCCACTAACAGAATAATACTATTTACTTACTGAGATAAAGATGTTTAGCAAATTCTCCAGGGTGGGGAGTTGTGGAATTAGTTTCTGAACCACTTTGCTAAAAGCTTCAAATATCGAATGATCATATATGCTTGTCAGATAAAAGCTGAAAGAGGAAACAATATTTCATCACGTTTTCCCGTTGACTGAGGAATAGGTTGCTTAGGCTCTGTCATAATACCAGTACCCTGCCTTCTGTGTCTGCATGTCTTACACACACATTCTAGCTCCCTTCAGAATTCAAAACAGCCTCGGTAAAAACTGAACATTTCTTAACAGGCCATTCCTCCCCGCCACCCAAAAAGCAAGAACTGTGCCCACTCTCATCTGCTAAGTGGCTGAACTGGGAAACTTAAAAATGTACATAAAATACGGAGAGGATTAGTATGGCCCTGAGCAAGCATGACATGCAAATTTCTGAAAAGTGCTATATTTTTAAAAAATTTGTAGCTTCCTTACATTCTGCAAGAGAACGCACACCAGATCATCTGTGCACACACCTCGTAGGGTAATAACTATTATTCATATTGAAGAATCTAAGTTTTTCATTTTCCAATCTGCAAAATGATTGTCCAGATAGCACCCCACAAAAAAATGATAGAGAAGTGGTTTTCTTCTGCGAGTATTTCTATTTGAATTATCTTCAGAGTTAGATGCTACCATATTTATCAAGAACTGTAAACTTCAGCATCAATTAACTTCCTGCTCACGGGTTTTTCAAATGGGGGAAGAACCTTAGCTTTGACCATTTGTTAAAAATATGTATGTATTTAAAACCCCACTGCTTTTCCCAAAGATTAGAATTAGTGCATGGAAAGCTTGCTTTTCCCAAATACTATCCCAATGTCTACAGTACAAAAGGGGGTAAACAGGTAAATTCCTGCCCATGCCAATCCACTTCTGGTGGCTTTGGACCCCAAACCTGCTTTTTCCCATTCATTACTGTGATCCCAGAGGGGTTTCTGTTCTCACCTGAGGTGAATTTTTTCTAATCCAGCATCTGCAAGGTCATCATTTGCCCTCTGATGAATATCTCTCTGGGTTTCAATTTTGTGGTCATCTGACAGACCATCCACTTTATGAATAAACACCTCGAAGTTGATGTCAGGGTTCACCTTGTAGGCCCTGGTCACTGTGAGGTGCAGCCGGGCCAGGGCTTCCATGTAATCATCCTAGGAAGAAAGGCACACTCCTGTTAGGCGAGGCTGCTTTGCTTTCTAACCCCTTCTAAGTTGCCTTTCACACACACTCTTCTTCCCAGCTTTATTTTATTTTTAAAGATGTTATTCATTTTTAGAGAGAGGGGAAGGGACAGAGAAAGAAAGGGAGATAAACATCAATGTGCAAGAGAAACTTGGAACGGTAGCCTCTCGGTTGCCCTTGGCCAGGGACCTGGCCTGCAACCCAGGCATGTGCCCTGACGGGGAATCAAACTGGCGGGCTTTCGGTTCTCAGTACGGTGCCCAGCCCACTGAGACACACCAGCCAGGGCTCTCCCAGCCTCACTGAGGTATGCTTAGCAAATAAACATAGCATACATTTAAAGTGTACAACGTGATGTTTTGATACACGTATATGTTGTGAAATGATCCCCCCAATGAAGCTAACTAAAGTTTCCAGCACTTCGCTCACAGTTAACCATGTTTGTCCTTCCCACATTCATTCTTAATTTAGAAACCATCTGGGTACAACCTCCAAAAATATTTTGCAAAAGCCCAATAAAAGCTGGTTTCATAGAATTCAAGTCTGAAAACTGAAGTCTTATTAACAAAAGACGAAAAAGAAAGGCCAGAAAAGCATGGCTGTAGGCAGTTACGACGAGCTTGCTGACAGTCCTAAAGGTCAGAGTTGCAACTTCCTGCACTGAAAATTCACAAGGGTCACCTAGGACTTCCCGTGGAATACAATCCCTCCCAGATTTTTGAGTCACTTGGCAAACTGTGATGAACAGTGAGAGATGAAAATATGGTACGGGTCACTGGGAGTATGGGGAAGGGGCCAGGAAGAAAAACCTTTTAAGAACCACTGGTGTAGAGTAGCCAAACTGGGCCCCTGCTGTCGCTTGCAGGTAAAGTTTTATTGGAACACAGCCACAGTCATTTGTTTACAAAGTATCTATGACTGTTTTCATGCTGCAATGGCAGTTGAGTAGTTTTCCTCTGTGGAAACTCCTCAGAGATAGTATAGCCTGCAAAGCTTAAAATATTTATCGTGTGGCACTTGACAGAAAAAGATTGCTGACCCATGGTCTACAATCATTGCCTCAAATAACACAATACTATTTTTTTTCCTTCCTACAGATGATAGCTATATAATAATATAACGAACACCTGCCTATGTGTCTCTTTGCTTAAGAAATCAAACATCGGCCCTGGCGGAGTAGCTCAGCTGGTTAGAATATCATCCTGATACGCCAAGGCTGTGGGTTCGATCTCTGGTCAGGCTACATACAAGAATTAATCAATGAATGCATGGATAAGCAGAAAAACAAATCGATGTTTCTCTCTAATCAATCAACTAAAAAAAAAAAAAAACTTAAAGAAAGAAATCAAACATCAGACACCGCAGCCCTGTGGGTTTTTCCCACTCCTCTCAACCTAGCCCATCACTCTCCCCCCACCCTCCCGGGGGAGCACTGCCCCAACGGTGTTTATTCTCACTTACCTCTTCCTATATTACTACATACATCTCTATCCTTAAACAACATACAGAATTCATTTCCACTGTTCACAAAAATACCGTTACACATATATTAGTTTGCCTTTTTCACTCAAAATTATATCTGTGACATTCACCTACACTGAAGTACATAACTCTAGTGCATAACTGCTTTTAACAGCTCTACAAAATCTCATTGTACGGATGGTCTATAATTTATCACTGTTGATAACTGTTGAGGGACTCTCAGAATGTTTCCAGACAGCAATAATGTGGATAGTCACACACGTGCATCTTTGGGTCTGTTTGCAAGGTTTGGGGGCTCACCCTGGACACTGACCCACTGGGTCACAGGAATGAGCACCCTGAATTTGACTAGGTGATGTGTAAGAGCACCCGAAGCTCCAGACACTCATCTACACTCAGTGTTGTCTCATCTCTTAATTATTGCCAATCTGAAGGTGTGAATAGGTCTTATTTTTATAGCAAAAAAGGGAAAGGGATCTGTAGGACAGAATTCAAAGGACTTTCACCCTCTATTCTGATTCCAACCCTGGACAAATACAAAAAGCTATTAAAACAGGGGATGTTTCTGGCGTTCTTCTTGTCCCCAAACTAAATTAATAAAATGCATATCAAGTCTATATAAATCAAAATATTAAAGACACTAATAAGAAACTATGAAGAGAGAGGAACAGCAAATGAATTCTTTCTCATCCTCACACTCTAAAGAGTTGTTTAAAATGAAAGAAAATTTTGGACACTGGGCTAACAGACCAAGCATACCGGAAAAAATCTAGATGAATAATTTATGGCACTTCTTTAATATCTTAAAGCATCTCAAAAACTAAAGTTATTACTGAATGGCTCCACATATAGGAAATTCTAGAAAAGGCAAACTAATCTATAGTGACAGAAAGCATGTCAGCAGTTGTCCGGGGCTGGGATTTGGGGGACTGAGAAAGGACAAAAAGGAACCTTTTAGGGCGGTAGAAATATTCTACACCTGGACTGTGAGGTAGTTACAAGGTGTATACATTTGTCAAACTCACTCAACTATTCACTTAAAATGAGGCCATTTTATTGTACGTATGTTAACCTAAAAAAAAAAAAGTGTTATTGCTTATGTCAAAGACATACGCAAGAGGGGAGTTAAAGGGACATGTCCATGAGCAAAACTAGACAATGTCAAGAGAGCATCACTGTCTCAAAGGAGTTGCTACTCTAACCTCCTTGCCAAGCATATAAAATGGTCTGACTACCAGCTAACTGATGACGTAGTATGTTAGCTACAAGGATTACAAATGATATTAAAAAGAAGAAAATATTTCGTTTACCACAGCAAAGGGATTGTGGATGATTTTTTCCTACCATGCTTGCTAGTATCATCTATGACAAGTAAAAGAAAAAAATATACTGCCTCCTTTCAATTCAAAATTAAATCTAAGACTTACAGATATGTGTGTCTCAGAGCACATGAGGAATGGCTGCGGCGGGCTCTGCGGGGGCTGGCGGTTTCACACGGTTTGGTCCTGGGGAAATGACTCTCGATGCTTGCTTTCTCTTTCATTTTATTGGGTTGACCAAAAAGTCTGTACAGTTTTTTCCGTAAAATAAAAGACACATTTTTCATTTTCACCAATAACTTTATTGACTTGGATATTTTGAGTATGTCGGCTATCTCCCACATAGTTCTACACTGATTGTTCTCGATTAGTGTCTCAATTTGATCACAATTAACTTCAACTGTCTGCCAAACCGCAGATCATTGTCCAGCAAGAAATCTCCAGCACGAAACTTCGCAAACCACTTTGGGCATGTTCTAACAGTCACAGCACCTTCCTCATACACTGCACAGATCTTCTCTTTGCGTCTCATTGTGTTTTTATCTTTTTTGAAATAAAGCACAATATGCTGAAAATGTTGCATATTTTCTTCCATCTTCAATATTAATATGGCTTCACAAAAATTCACCAATTTTGATAAGTTTTTTTAAAAATTCATGCTGATATGATGGCTGTCACAATACAATCTAACAAAATTGTTTTGAATGAAGTTAAAGACAACTAAGTACCACTAGATCCATCTTATGGGGGGGAAAACAAACGAACTTTTTGGCCAACCCAATACAAGCGTGTTCTGTGAGGACACATTTTCTCTTTGGTGATATATTTACCTGGCAATCCTGTGAGGACTTCACAAGCAAAAAATAAAAATATGGGGTGTCAGACCACCAGAGCACTGCTGAAAGAAAATAATGTTCAAGTGCTGCTGAGACTCCCCTAATATGTGTATGTATGTGTGTGTGTGTTTTAATTTTACAGAGTGAGGAAGAGAGGGAGAAGGAGAGGGGGAGAAACATCGATGTAAGAGGGAAATGTTGATTGGTTGCCTTCCATAAGGGTCCTGACCAGGGATGAACCTGCAATCCAGGCATGTGCTCTGACTGGGAATCAAATCGGTGACCTTTCAGCTTCCAGAGCAGCACCCAACCAACTGAGCCCACGGGCTGGGGCATGTGTACTCTTCTTTTTAATGCTTGTAATCTCACCTTACAAAGATTCCCACAAACTGCCCTGGCTGGTGTGGCTCAGTGGGTGAGTGTCTGCCTGTGAACCAAATGGTCACCAGATGGATTCCCAGGCAGGGCACATGCCTGGGTTGTGGGCCGGGTCCCCAGTTGGGGGTGTTCGAAAGGCAAATGATCAATGTTTCTCTCTTACATTGATGTTTCTCTCCCACTCATTCTCCCTCCCTTCCTCTCTCTAAAAATAAATTTAAAAAATATTTTTAAAAAAATGATTCCGACAAATACGATTTTTTAAAAAAATCTTCACCGAAAGATGTATTTTACTGATTTCTGAGAGAGAGAGAAAGGGAGAGAGAGAAACATCAATGTGAGAGAAAAACATCGCTTGGCCGTCCCGTAAGCCCCCAACCCTGCCCTTGGGGAACTGAACAAAACCTAGGCATGTGCCCCCACTATAATCGAACCCAAAACCTTCTGGTGTAATGGATGATGTTCCAACCAACTGAGCCACACGGTCAGGACCCTTTTTTAAAAGTATAACTTAAAAAGTTGAATTTTGTAAGCATCCATATACCTTTCTCTGCCTTCAAGCTAAAAAATAAACAAAACCAAGAGCTAAAACAAAGAACATGTTTACCAACCCAAACTAAAGGTCCCCTTTCATGTTCAGATAGAATTAAAATCAAATTATAGCCCTGGCCAGGTAGCTCAGTTCATTAAGAGTGTCGTCCCGGTACGCCAAGGTTGCAAGTCAACAATGAACTCATAAATAAGTGGAACAGCAAATCAGTGCTCCCCTCTCTCTCCTTCTCTCCCCACTCTCTAAAATCAAGAACAAATTTTTTTAAAAAATTATGGTTGCAATTTAAAAAATAGGAAAGTATACCTACTTTAGCTCCATTATTGCCATCATAAAAATACCTGAAATAGATGTGCTCCGGAAATTTGAATTCCATAAATGCAACTGCTAGGTAAACACATCATGGTATTGAAGTAAGTATTTACTTACTAAGCCACTGTCTTGAAATCTACTAGGCCACTGGTTGGAATCTTCTCACTCACAGGCTGCCACTTCCTAGTTCAATAACTATAGAAACAGCGGCCATGTGATGTAGGAAAAAAAAATAGAGCTTAAAAGAGACGGACGGCCATGACATCCCTGGAGCCTCACCTCCCAGGCAGCAGCGTGGACCCACTCCGGCCACTCCTCTCCAGCTCCAGGCTCCCTAATTTACAGGGCTGGCAGACCCGAGGCAGGAAGCCAGGGGGTACTGCCAAGGCCACAGATGGGCCAGAAAACAGGTCAGTGCAAGTGGGACAGCCAGAAAAGCAGCAATTGACAGCAGGCCCTGGACCTGACGCTGGCGTCTACGAGCATGCGCTTCTGGAAGAATCCAGGGGAGGAGGGGCACTGTTTGCTGTTCCTGGGTCAGGCACTGGATTTTAAAGTCTCCCCCAGCTATACCCCACCACGAAAGAAAGAACCCTTTCTGACCACGTGGCCAAGCTCCCCCAGCTACACTCGAAGTCAAAGTGCAGTTACTTGAAACTAAAAGGCTTTAGTTGAACATTTCGATATCATATTAAATGCCTAGTTTCGTTGATGCTCTCTGCAATGAGCAGTCTTCTCAGAGAACAGTTTTCCAAGCATGGGCATAGAACCATATGACTAAGTCTTCATACCCTTTCCCCGCTAACTATATTGGTGCTCTTGCAAGAGCTGGGAGTGCTCCGCCCACCTGTCTCTTTGTAGGTCTAGAGTTTCAGGAAAAGGTCTGGACCCGAGTTGGTGTAGTGCATTCCTGTGGAATTTGTTGCCCTTTATTCCCCCACGGCTGCAAAAGAGAGGACCGTCGGCCTGGGCCGCATATCACAGACACTTCCTAAGATGCTTGGACATGGAGAGTCTGAAGAGCGATGAGGTCCCAGTGCTGCCGCCTGTACACTTTCTAATACTGACTTGCCTGAGATGCACCAGTGGTCCCTCTGCTTCCCTTTCGTATCTCCCCTTTAACACAGGCCCTCCTCCCGCTTAGCAGGAGAAAGGCTCAGGGTATAAAATCCCAGGGTGCTGAAGTGAAAAGTCAGAAGACTGGTTTGAATAATTGACAAAGTGAACAAATCTATACCTGGGTTGTTAAGTCAAAGGGCTCCCAAATTTTGGCTTTCAGCAAAGTTAAGGAGGACCCAATCAGAACGCCTACTGGTAAACCACTACAAATAAATTTTTATGACAGAAAACTGGGCACTTTAGGGGATATAACTTGGAAGGAGTTCAAATAATTGAGTGGCCCTGGCTGGTGTGGCTCAGTGGACTGAGCGCCAGCCTGTGAACTGAAAGGTTGCCTATTCGATTCCCAGTCAGAGCATTTGCCTGGGCTGCGGGCCAGGCCAGTTGGGGGTGTGTGAAAGGCAATTGATTGATGTTTCTCTCTTAAAGTGATGTTTTTCTCCCCATCTCTTTCTCCCTCCCTACCCCTCTTTCTAAAAATAAATAAAATCTTTATTTTTTTATTTAGAGAGAGAGGAAGGGGAGAGAAAGAGAATGAAACATCAATTTGTTGTTTGATTTATTTATGCATTTCTTGGTTGATTGCTAAATATGCCCTGAGCAGGGATTGTACCCACAACCTTGGTGCATCGGGATGATGTTCTAACCAAATGAGCTACCTGGCCAGGGCCAGAATCTTTTAAAAAAAATAATAATCAATTGAATGTTATATCAAAACTTACCCTATAGGTTCCTACTTATTTATGTGAATGAGGTTTCTCAGTGATTATATCTATACAAATAAAAAACAAAAATAGAATCAATGCCAAGTCCTGAATTAAGTGGAAAAATATCCACCTTCTTAAGATATAATTATCTCCAATTTTACTGTTTATATTTACCTATAAAATGCACAATAGTTATGCTGCCTATCAACTGTGCACTAGCAATGATTATAATAATTTTACCTCAGAAGAAAAAATTTCATACTTAGAACTTTATCTTCATAGAGAATAGTATTTTAAAATGTAAACTTGTATGTATACGTAGTTTTGTTGCACAGAACCTGTGATCTTTTATAGATGTCTGCCAAGAGCATCAGTGGGGGGACACGTATTTGCTGTCTCTGGCCTGAATGTGGTTCCCTCAATCCGTGAGGTTCCCTAGATCTGCGATTTGCTGAGACATACACAGCTACAGCTCCCTAATGTCATCAATTATTTGTCAGGGTTGCATGAAGACTTCGTTGCAGACTCTGAGAGACCCATTTGAGAAATGCTTGTTCATTAGAGAGGCCTACTGTCAATTCTAAAAACCAAACCCCAAACCGAAACCATCACCAAGGAAACTGTCTGAACCCAGGGGAACAACTGCCTGTGTCGGGGAGAGGAGCCTGCTGTCCCACCGTACCCAAGGCTGAGCTTTACCTGGGAGTCTATTACAAATATCAGCGCTCCTGTTCCCCGGAAGATCATCTCATAGTCAAACGTAGGGTCAAAAAAGTCGATCTGTCCTGGGAAGTCCCAAATCTGGAAATTAACAAAGGAGCTGTTGGAGACGTCTTCCCGACAGATCTTGTTCGTGCTCTCCAGGAACAGCGTCTCGTTGGGAGACATTTTGTGAAAGACCACTTTCTGAATAGAAGACTTGCCACTTCTCCTCAGGCCCATGAGCAAGATCCTCGGCTTCACCTCAGTGCTGAAGGGATCGCTGAAGTCCAGAACTGGAGAAAACCACAAAACAAAAATGAGGGTGAGACTCTTTCACAGTGGTTAATTCAAGGAGTTTCACTTCCGCCTCAGATGTGATTTATGATTCACAGACCATTCGACTTTTTCCAATATGGACAGTGCTAACTACATCATTCCGCTCTTTGAGAGGACAGCTTTTAGTAAGTGGAAAGCACTGAAAAATGCTGTTTCACTACTTCTTGCGCCATTCCAAGAGGGCCACAAAACCTGCACAACTCTGCATCGCAAGCAGGGAACCTTGAGAGTGAGGGGTAGAGCTTTCTTAGAGCCAACCGTCTGGGGAAAGAAGCCAGTGTTAGCATTCCAGAGTGATGTCCTTCTTTGCCTAGATCAGCAGGGCCTCTACACACTAAAGAGATGCTTGCTCATTTGCCCATTCTCAGTTACTCTCTCCTGGCCAGTGCTCTCATCCACCACAGAGGTCTGGAGAATGTGCATGTTCTAGACACCTCGGACTCAGGCTGTGTTAGAAAGTGGATGTAAACTTTGGGGAAGGCACACCTCTCCCAGGTCTACGCCGGCTCAAAGCCTGCACTGTCCGGTGAGGGAGCCACGGACCATACGTGACCGTTTAAATTAAAATTCACTAAAATTAATAATCCAGAACCAGTATGCTGTACACCTCAATCTAATACAAAAATAATATTGAATGTAAACTATAATTGGAAAAAAATATGAACCACACCCTCCCCCCCAAATCCAGGTCCTCCTTATGTGAAGCTCCTAGAGTAGTCCAGTACATAGACACAGAAGGTAGGATGGTGGCTTCCAGGGGCCAGCAGGATGAAGTTAGTGCTTGATGGTGACAGAGTTTCAGTTTGGGAAAGTCAAACAGTTCTGGCAACGGATGACAGTGATGGCCACACAACATTGTGTGTGTACGTAACGTCACTAAACTGTGTACTTAAAATTGATGAAAACAGTACATTTTATGTTACGTATGTTCTATCACCATAAAAAATTTCAGGTCCTCACTTGTACAAGTCATCCTGCAGGTTAATTCAACAGCCCCCTCAGGCAAGAGTGTAGAACACTGTCATCGTCATCACAGAAAGTTCTACAGATCAGTGTTACTCTCATCCCTGGTAACAAAAATTCAATCCTAAAATCCTTTGTTAGGGGTCCTAGAGAGAGTAGGCGTTACTGGATAGAAGTAGAAATTAGTATAAAAGCTCAAAACCTTGTTGGACTCTCTCTTTTTTTGTCCTTGAACCAGATAATGTTAGTTCCACAATGTTCTTCAGTCCTAAACAACCACTTACTTTCTGAGAAGCAGTCCTTCTTGACCACGAGTGTGTACATTTCACAGAAGCAAAGGAAGTATCTAACTAGTGATCAAATGCTGGGGCCTGAAGTCAAGACCTGGGGTTTGAGCTATGAGACCTTGGACAAGAGGCTTAGATTTTCAGAGTCATAAAATGGAGGTGATAATGACAATAAAAACCTCATAGGGCTGTTAGGATTTAATTAAATGACATCAAGGACCTAACATGAATATTAAAAATAAGACCCATTCAACTTTGCCCCATGGTGTCGGGACAAACTGGATATCCAAAAACAAAAGAATGAAGTTGGACACTTATCCTACACCATATACAAAAATTAACTCAAAATGGATTAAACATCTAAATTTATGAGGTAAGATTATAAAACTGTTAAAAGGAAACACAGTTATAAATCTTGATGACCACAGATTAAGCAGTGGTTTCTTAGCTCTGATACCAAAAGCACAAGACACCACAGAAAAAAATAAACTGGATCTAATCAAAATGAAAAACTTTGGTGCTTCAGAGGACACTATCAAAAAAAGTGAAGACATTCCTCCAAAGACAGACAAATGGCCAATAAGCATATGAAAAGATGTTCTACATCATTAGCCATCAGGGAAATACCAATCAAAAATACTAAGAGACGCCACTTAACATCTATGAGAATGGCTACAAGCAGACAGATATAACAAGTGTTGGTGAGGATGTGAACAAATTGGAACCCTCATATACTGCTAGTGAAAATATTAAATGGTGTGCTTTGAAAAAAAAAAGTTTGGTATCCTGACTGGTGTCACCCAGTGGGTTTAGGCATTGTTCCACAAACCAAAGGTCACCGGATTTGATTCCTGGTCAGGGCACATGCCTGGGTTGAAGGCCAAGTTCCTGGTTGGGGGCTCTTGGGAGGTAATCCACCAGCGTTTCTCTCACACATTCACATTTCTCTTCTTCTCTTTTTCCCTCCCTTTCCCTCTTTCTAAAAAGTAAATAAATAAAATCTTAAAAAGAAAAGTTTGACAGGTCCTCAAATGGTTAAACCTTGAGTCATCATATGACCCAGTAACTCCACTTCTAGAAATATATTAAAAAATACGAAAACATATGTCCAAACAAAAACTTGTACACTAATGTTCACAGCAGCATTATTCAGAATGACCACAAAATGGAAACAATCCAACGGCCATCAAATGATGATTAACAAAATGTGGTATATCCATACAATGGCATATTCAGCCATAAAAAAGGAGCCAAGTACTGATTTATGCCACAACATGAACAAACAATGAAAGCAAAAGAAGCTAGATATAAAAGGTCGCATATTGTTTGATTCCATTTATATGAAATATCCAGAATATACAAATTCAGAGATAAAAGATACTTTGTGGTTGCCAGGGGCTACAGGGGAGGGAAAATGGGAGGTGACTGTTGAGGAGCATGTGGTTCCTTTGGAGTAATAAAAAAAGTTCTAGAATTAAATAGTAATGATGAGCACACGCCTTCGTGAATATATTAAAACCACTCATTTGAATATTTTAAAAGTATAGTATGTGAAATATATCTCAATTTTTTAAAAAAGTCTTCATGAATACCAAAATAAATAAATAAATAAAAATGAAACTTCGAGAAAGGTCAAGAAAGAAAATCAACACTTTAAGAAAAAAGTTGTAATATAGGCAAATATGGAGATACACACATACATTAAATTATTTTTCTAAATTTCTGTTTGGTTTCTTTCAGGACTACACCTTTTATGTCTTCATCAGTCCCTAATTCAAGTCTAAGTCGACTCCAATACTGACTGCAAAGTAATCCTTTATTTCTCTATTGTAACTAACATTTTTTCCTGAAAACACGCTAATATTTGATAACCTCAGTTAATTTCATTGACTATAAATAATCTTTTGATGTTTGAATTTGAAAGAAATGTAGGTAAACACACAAATTTTGGGCAAACAACAATGAATAAAATAAGCAGGTACAGATGTACACAGGCATTGCTCTATTACATGCAACATCTCACCCCATCCTACACACATGCATTTTCCAGTTCAGCTTAACCCAACCAACAAACTGCTGATGATAGATGATAGAAGCAGTGATGGGGATGTAAACCCCCCAAAAGGTTACCAGCTTTCCTCTTCATCTCTTCATCAGTGATTATGTGCTACCCATTTGCAGTACTGCCGTTACAAGTCAGTTTTAGCAAAAGCAGGACATGAATTGAAAAAGAAAACAGGACTTCCAGTTACAAAAGTATTAGACTGATAACAAGTCACAGCCTTTACCACGCCCCCCCCATACTAAATCCCTGAAAATAATGGAGAAGGTATAAATGATAAACAGAGGAACAAATAAACATGGATATTTTCAAGCTCAGCTGAGCTTGAAACAAAAAAGAAAACTCAAAACTCACAAATTACTGAAACCGCCCTCCCCCTCAAGAAACACAAAGATCAGACTGAAGAGGGGACTGCAGCCCTTGACATGAATGAGTCGGCTCTGCTGCAGAAGGTGGAACCGGTGGAAGCCCAAACAGGAAGGGACAGGAAGACAGTCAAGGTCATTATTTGGAGAATCATAGTAAGGAGAGCTAAGGAGATCAACTCTGTGCACCACTGCCCATCTGTCTACCAAACGCCATCCCACACATACTCTAGAACATCTTCCAGGTGGGAGCCGTGACGCTCCGAGCTTGGGGGAAAGAGGGAAGGCAGCTGCCCCAGCGGCTAGTGGTGCCTAAAGGGACAGGGAGCAGCCACACTGCCGTACTCCTAATAATCTGACCGTACCTAACTCTCCCTACAATGTGCATGGAGTGCAAGAGATGGAAGCAGCACCATGTTCCCTTCCGACATTTCCTCCACTGCCCACACTTGAGGAAAGCCAAGATTACAGAATAGAACAGACACCCAACAAATGCAAGAGTGTTCACCTGAAGAAGCTGAGTTTATAATGAAAACAGAGCAAAATTTCAAGATGAGTATAAATAAAACACACAGAAAAGAAAATATGGCACTCGAAACAATGACAGTTTCCAAATAAGAGCAGTCAAGAGAAAGGGCCTGAGTGATCTTGGAAATAAAAATATAATTTTAGGGGAGGAAAGATAAATGGACTGAAAAACAGAATAAACACGGATAAAGGGGGTAATAGTGAACTAGAAAGTCAAATTCTCTCGGAATGTAGTAGAAAGGGATAGAGCACTGGCAAATGTGAGATAAAAATTAAGTGACACCAGAAATAAAGTTCAGATGTCCCACTATGTGCCAAAGAAGTTCCAAAAGAGGAAAACACAGAATATACAGGAAGGCAGTATTTAACTAAATAATAGATAAGCTTCTCCCATATTAAAAAAGGATAAAACTTAAAAGGAACAGAGAGAAATTTAAACAAAAACAAGCCCACACCTAGGAAAATCATAGTAAAATTTCAAAACATCAAGGATAATAATAAACTCCTTCAAACTATCAGAAGAGGAAACAATCCTACAATGGAATCAGAAAAACATCAGACTTCTTAACAATACAGGGTATAAGAAGAGAATGGAATAGTACAGGATCTTTAAATGATTAAAGAAAAATATCTTTAAACTCAGATTTGTATACCCAGTCATACTATTTTTCAAATGTGGGAGTGAAATAAAGACAGTTTCAGGCATTCATGGACTCAGAAAGCTTATTGTCCATTCCGTTTCTTTACAAGAA